TCATCATCATCATCATCATCATCATCATCATCATCATCATCATCATCATCATCATCATCACTACTATCACCATCATCATCCCTAACAGTTCGTGGCCCCATAGGGATGTCCACCGAAGGCCCCAATGGCAAGGTTTACATGCGCCCCCGCGACTCATGTCAGCACACTCCTCACACGGTTCGTGGCACCATAGGGAGCTCCACCGAGGGCCCGAGTGGCAGGGTTGACACGCGTCCCCGCGACTCATTTCGCCACACCCCTCACACGGTTCGTGGCCCCATGGGGAGCTCCACCGAAGGCCCCAGTGGCAGGGTTTAGGTACCCGCCCGCGTCCCCGCGACTCATTTCGGCCCACCCCTCACACGGTTCGTGGCACCATAGGGAGCTCCACGCAAGGCCCGAGCGGCAGGGTTTACATGCGTCCCCGCGCCCCAGTGGCAGGGTTTACATGCGTCCCTGCGACTCATTTCGGGACAGCCCCCGACCTCCCGACCGCTTCACCAGGACTAGCCTTTCGTCCCTTCGACGGTCCCGCCGAGGGCCCTTGGAGGGCGGAAACGATGGGAAAAAAAACGCGTCTCGATTTTTGTCGAGACGCCCGACGTCTGTCCGACCAGCCATAACTGGGGGAGCTGTGGTCCCTACCCCCCTGGGGGAACCCATCGCATCGACGATCTCTCGAGAGGGGTGTCGAAATCGATGGGTCCCCCAGGGGGGTAAGGACCACAGCTCCCCCAGTTGTGGCCGGCCTGTCTGTGCTGATCCTCGCCCCAGCCCCGTCCGACTTGCTGCCACGGAGCCGGCCCGAGGGGCTCGGGCCACGGGCGGGCCTCGAGCGGCGGGCGGGCGGGTCTCGAGCAGCCGAGGCCCCCTTAGGTGTGGTCGGAGCAGGCGCGCCGCACCGCCGATGCACCGCCGAGGCACCGGCGATGCACCGGCGAGGCCCCGTCGACGTCGGCGGTGCAGCGGCGACGGCGACGCGCAGCACATCGGGCCCCGCATCGCGCCGCGCCGCCGACGCCTCGGCGACGCGGCGCCACCCTCCGACGCGTCTGCTCGGACCTCCTCTGCATGGGAGGCCCAGGGGCAGCGCGCTCAGGGAAGGCGGGCGCCGCGCCCGGGCGGGCGGCCGGAGCAGAGGGCCGGCGGGGGGCCCCGCCAGGGGGGCGAGCGGGGACGGAGGTCGGCGGCTCCAAGCCCGGCAGCGCAGGAGGAGGCGGCGGCGGAGGAGGAGGCGGAGGAGGGAGGAGGAGGAGGAGGAGAGAGGAGGAGGAGGAGGAGGAGGAGGAGGAGGAGGAGGAGGAGGAGGAGGAGGAGGAGGAGGAGGAGGAGGAGGAGGAGGAGGAGGAGGAGGAGGAGGAGGAGGAGGAGGAGGAAGGAGGAGGAGGAGGGAAAGGAGGAGGAGGAGGAGGAGGAGGAGGAGGAGGAGGAGGCGGAGGAGGCGGAGGAGGCGGAGGAGGCGGAGGAGAGGAGGAGGGAGGAGGAGGAGGAGGCGGAGGAGGAGGAGGAGGAGGAGGAGGAGGAGGAGGAGCGGGGGAAAGCACAGACTCGGAGACGGAGGCCAGGGCCAGGGCCGGGAGAGCGCGCGCGGCGGCGGAGGGCTAGGCGCTAGGCCCACCCCCCGCCCCCTGCCCCTCCGGTGGGCCGCTGGCGAGCGTGCGGCCGGCGGCTGCGCCAAGCCCGCGCCCGGCGGCCCCTGTCTGAGCCGCAATGCCTGCAGGCCGCGCGGTGCCCGCCCAGCCGCCGGCGGTCGCCAGCCCGGGCCCGCCGCCGCCTGCGGCTCCGCCGCGCTCTCCGGGGCGCTGTCGCAGGTGGGGCGGGAGCGGCCGCCCAAGAAGCCCCCCCCTCGAGGCCCCACGAGGCTCCAGGAGGTCCCCAAGTAGCCCCAAGAGGCCCCCGGGAGGCCCCCTGGAGGCCCCCCAAAACTGCCCCCGAGAGCGCCCCGAAGAGACCCCGAGAATCCTCCCCGAGAATTCTCAACTCAGGCGCGGTGGTGGGATTGACCGAAGGCCATCAGATACAACCCTACGTCCCTGAAGCGGAGCGAGGGCGGGGATGGGACGCCGGACTCGCCGGACACTGCGCCGGCCGGCCCTGCGAGGGCTTAGCTAGGCGGTGGCGCCGCGGCCGGCGCCGACCAGCCCCAAATCGCGTGCTGGGGGAAGCGGGCCATCGGGGCGAGCCCAGGCGGGCCATCAGGGCGGCCCCAGGCGGGCCCCAGGTGGCCCCGAGACGACCCCAGGCGGCACCAGGACGGCCCGAGAGGCCCCCTCCTGCGCCCGCAAGGGGGTTCCGAGGGCCGCCCGCCTGCGCACCAAGCTCGCCCCTCGCTGGCGCGCCTGCCGCCACGGGGGCCTGCAGCCGAGGGCCCTTGCGGCGCAGAGCTGCCAGCCGCGAGCACCCGAGAGGGTTCCAACATGACCTCCGGGAGGGCGGGACGGTGTCGAGGCGGCGGGGGCGGGGCAGGGCAACGCTGGACGACTTCACGCCCACCTCGGGTGCGGGGGAAGAGCAGAGCTGGACGACCTCGCGTCTGCCTCGAGCCAGCCCGGACGCCCCTCGGAATCCCCCCCTCCCCCTCGAAGCCAAAGCTTCGACGCCGCGATTCCCCAAACAGTGCTGGCACTCAGGGGGTATTACTTGTGCCCCAAGCCCAGACATCTGGCTGCTCCATTCTTTTCGATGCGTGGGCCCCGGAGGTCCAGACCACTTCCCGGAGGCCAGTTTTTCGTCCTGAGTCGTTTTTTGACGCTCCCGAGGCCCGGCGAGAGCCCCCGGAGGCAGAGAACTGCTCAAGTCCCGCCGCTCCAATTTTTTGGGAGCGTCGGGTCTCTGGGAACGCACTGTATGGGCCTGGCGAGGTTTCGCCACGGTGCCGCACTCGTGGCCGCCGTGTGCGCTTGTGGGTGCGGCGAGTTGCGCCACGTTGCCGCCCGTGGCCGCCACGTGTCTGCCTCTAGATTGCACCACGTATACCGCACACTGCACCACGTAGCCTGCACCACACAGCTTGCACCACACAACTTGCACATCCACAGTGTACTGACTTACGTACTGCTTGGGGCCCACGCTGGTTAACATGTCCCACGGCGTTCACACTGGCCTTCCTGGCCACGGCCGTCCTCGTCCAGGGCGGAGGAGGAGGAGCAGGAGAAGGAGGAGAAGGAGGTGGATGAGAAGGAGGAGGAGGAGGAGGAGGAGGAGGAGGAGGAGCAGGAGGAGGAGTCGGAGGAGAAAGAGGAGGAGGCGGAGGAGGAGGAGAACGATGTGGCGCTCGCCGGAAGAGGCCGGAAGCTCTCGGAGGATGGACGGGTCAGCACTCCCCCAGGCAGTGCCTGCGCTCAGGGCTCCTGCGATTGTGCCACCGAGGAGCCGGACGGGTCCGCCGAGGTCTCGCCGCGTCGCCGCCCGCGGGCGCCCCGTGGCCGCCGCGCTGCCGCCCACGGGGGGGGCCCGCGAGGGGGCTCGCCGCGTGCGCCGCCCGCGGCCACCTCGTGGCCGCCTCGTGGCCGCCAGGAGGAGGGGGAGGAGGAGGAGGAGGAGGAGGAGGAGGAGCAGGAGGAGGAGCAGGAGGAGGAGGACGAGGAGGAGGAGGGGGAGAAGAAGAAGAAGCAGGAAGGGGAGGAGGGATGGAAGACGAGGGATTGCCCGAGGAAGGCGTCGGTGCAAGAGCGAGGGGGTCTGCCGAGGTTTCGCCACGCACCTCGCACCACATGCCTTGCACCACACAGCTTGCACCGCACAGCTTGCACCGCAGAGCTTGCACATCCGCAGTGCAATAGCTTACTGGTTGGGCTCCATGCCGGCAAACACGATTGATTCCGAACCCGTGGATCCAAACATGGCAGCGTCTCGCTTTACTCAAGCGAAAATGTGCGAAGCCTTCCCCTGCAAGGGAGATTTCTGAAAAACCGGCTGGGGTTCAGAATTCGAAGGATAGTTGCAGCCAAGGAAACCCCAGCAAGGCTGACCGATACCCCAGCGTCGATTGGACCTGCGGGGGTAGCGTTCGCAAGCGTTCACATTTTTTTTTTTCCGCCGGCCTGCCGCCTGCGAGGCCGCCGCGGATGTGCCTGCGCCGACTTCTGCCAGCCGCCCGCCCGCTACCGCCGAGGGCCAGGACGCTGCCGCCCGTGGCTCGAGCGCAGCAGGCTGCGGCGAAGGCCCGGCCTGCCATCGGGGAGTGTAAAGATTGGTGCCTCTTCCTCGGCGGAGGGCGGCGGAAGGCTGGCGGAGGCCAGTTGGAAGGAAAACGAGGGCGGCGCTGCCGGCGGAGGGCCAGCAGAGGCCGGCGGCAGGAACAAGCGCTCCCTCGCGAGAGACGTGATGTTTGTGGGGCTCAGGGCTTCTGGGGCCCACAGGTTGGAGCAGTGCCGATCTTGTAGACGCATGCGCCCACGTGAAAGGTGCTGCCCCTGGTAGGACCCGTCGGGGAAACGTATGACCTTGGTTCGGGGGACTCGGGTTGGCATGACAGGGCCGAAGGTGCTGCCCCTGGTAGGACCCGTCGGGGAAACGTATGACCTTGGTTCGGGGGACTCGGGTTGGCATGACAGGGCCGTCATGAAAACAAGGCTCAGTCTGAAATCTGATGCGAGCTCCCGCTGTAACCCACCCACGAAAATTGGACCGTCAAAATCCAGGACGCGCTCGCCAGAAAGCGTTGGCAAACCCGAGTTCCGGCACACACGAGTCTTACGTTTCCCCGACCGGAGGTGGAGGAGGAAGCGGAGGAGGCGGAGGAGGAGCAGGAGGACGGAGGAGGAGGAGGAGGAGGAGGAGGAGGAGGAGGAGGAGGAGGACGGAGGAGGAGGAGGGGAGGAGGAGGAGGAGGAGGGGGAGGAGGAGGAGGAGGAGGAGGAGGAGAGAGGAGTAGGCGGAGGAGGAGGAGCAGGAGGAGGAGGAGGAGGAGGAGGGAGGAGGGGGAGGAGGACGAGGACGAGGAGGAGGACGGAGGAGGAGGAGGAGGAGGAGGAGGAGGAGGAGGAGGAGGAGGAGGAGGAGGAGCCGCACATCCGTCCGTCTTCGCAGTCCAAGATGAGATGCGCCGAGCCTGCCAGGCCTCGATCGTTGCGCCGACGGCCTCTCTCCCGTGGGGCCCTGCGTGGGCGCACCGGGACCCGGCGCACCTCCAACGCTGGGGCCACGAAGCCAGCCAGAGCCTGGAGACGACAGCTGCGGACAGAGCTCCGCTTCCTCCCAGGTTCTGCGCTGCGGACCGTGGTCTCGCACGTCCTGCGTGCGCTTTACTGCGAGCATCGCTGCGCCCGGAGGATCTTGGCAGCCTAACAACACGTCAAGGAAGGGTGCATCCTGGCTAACCCGAGCGACGCACCTGGATCAATCATACTTTTACTCCTGCTCCTGCTGACGTTCCTGCTGCCGCTCGGACAAATACTTGTCACTGATCTTCCTACTCCAACTGATGCTGCCATGGCTACTCCTGCTCATGCTCGGGCTTCTACCCCGCTGTTACCCTTGCACGTGCTCCAACTCCGATAGATGCTCGCTTTGCTACTGATACTTCCAGGTGCGACTTATTTGGGAGAGGATGCGCCTCGCCACGAATGATCCGAGCCCTCCCCATCAAGGTTCAGCGGTGGCCAGCACATCGTGCCACCCACGACCGCTCAGAGGCCCTGCAGGCAACGGCCAGGGCCAATTCGGCAAAGCCGAGGGGTGAAACATGGCAGGTGGCCAGAGTCAGGGGAAGGATCGGGAGCGGAAGTCCGTGAAGCCGGTCAGCCAGCACGAACAGCGCCTCGACACCGCAACACTCGATGCCGCCGGCGCTACTTGTCCCACGGCGCCAGCGTGCCCGACTTCTTGGCGGCGAGTCCGGCGTTGCGCTTCTCGAGGATCTCGGCCATCATCTTGGTGGACTCCACCCTCTCCTTCTCCACCGCGCGGCTGATCTTGTTCTCGGCCATGGCCGACTGGCGCTGCTCGATGGCGTGCGCGTGCTCGCGCTTCTGGCGCGCCACCTCCTGTCGGGCCAGACGAAAGGGGGGGATTGGGAAAGGGGGGGTTACGAAATCTGCTGCATGCAGCTGGTTTCGGCCCCACCGAGGGGCCCATTTCCTCGATACATAGACGCCTCCCGGCGCCGGGAGTCGCCGGGAAAATCAGCTACGCGAGCTGATTCTCAACCCCCCCCTTTGCTATCCCCCCCTTTCGCCCGACCCGATCCTGGTACTGCCGCTGCTGGAGGTTCGACTCCGCGTGCTTCTGGTGCATGGCCCTCTCCCCCTCGAGCCGGGCGGCCTCCAGGGCGTCCAGGCGCCGCTGCTCCTCCTCGATCATGGCCTTCTCCTGCGGGCCCCAAGAATATATACATATATATATATATATACACCACCACCACCACGTCGATTCCTCCTCCCTCCTCGACCCTCCTACTCCTTTCCTCTTTCCTGGGGGAGGGAGGGGGGGAGAGAGGTGGTGGTAGTATACATGGTTGGGCCCCGTATCTCCTGCATCAGCTCGTTCTTCAGCTTCTCGCGCAGCTCCTCCTTCATCTGGAGCTGCGAGGCGCGGTCCTCGTACACCTCCTCCATCAGCTTCCGGCGGGCGAGCTCCTCCTTCTCCCACTTGTCGTAGCGCTTCTGCCACTGCCGCTCCGACTCCTCGTGCTGAAGCCGGACGAGCTGCTCCTCGGACTCGGCCTTCCTGGCCATCTCGATCTTCAGCGCCTCCGTGAAGGCGCGTGCCTTCTGGTTGGCCTTCTTCTTCTCTGCCTCCTCGATCTCCGCGAGCTTCCGCTCCCGTGCGATCACTTCCTCAACGAAAGCCTTGTCGAACTCCTTCTCCTCGCGCTCGTCCGCGTCGCGGTGTGCCTTCTGGACAGCCATGTACTCATCCGTTTTCGCGCGCTCCTGCTTGGCTCGGATCTTCGCTTGCACCAGTGCTTCCTTTTCAGCCTGTTCCTGCGCCGTCCAAACCTTCTTCATCTCGGTGGCCTCTTCAGCCTCTACCACCTTTTCCTCCTCCACGCGCTGGGTCTTCATGCTTTTCTGTATCTCTAGGACCTTGACCATCTGCGCCTTCCTCTCTTTCTCGGCCTCCTTCTCCTGCCTCTCGCGCTCGATCTTGGCAAGGTACCCTTCCTGCCACAGCTTGTTGTAGAACTCGTCGTGCTGCTTCTCCTCCTCCTTACGCGCAGCCTTCTCGTCCAGCTGCGAGTCGCGATCGGCGATCACCTGCAGCAGGGCTGAACCGAAACGGTGTTTTTCATTTTCGTCTTGTTTTCGGTCTTCCTCGTTTTGTCTTCAATCCGCCTCTGTCGCAAAACGGAGTCGAAGCGAAAACGGCCTACGAAATCGCCAGAACAGCGTTTAGGTCCAGCCCTCACCTGCAGCTGCACGATCTTCGAGTCCATGCTGCGGACGTCGTCCAGTCCGCTGCGCCACTGCTGGTACAGCTTGTCCTGCACTATCGCCTTCCGCTCGTCCTCGCGCCGCTTCTTCAGCTCGTAGGCGCGGGCGGCCATCTTCTCGGTCCGCTGCTGGGGCGTCTCCTCCTTGCGGCGGCGCGCCGGGAGGGGGGGAAGTGGGAGGGGGCGAGCCTCCTCGGACGGCGAGAGAAGGCGAGTGAAGGCAGCACCAGCCTCAGAAGTCCGGAGGCCTTCTGAGCCTTCCGACAAGGCCCGCCCCCTCTCGGACACCTGCTGGCTCAGGGGCCACGGCGAGCCTTCTCGGAAGGCGAGAAGGCGAGAAGGCAGCACCCACCCGCAACCGCCCGTCCCTCAAAAGTCCGGAGGCCTTCTGAGCCTTCCGACGAGGCCCGCCCCATCGCGGACATCTGCTGGCTCAGGGGCCATAGCTCGGCTCTCCCGCGGCTGTTCGGGAGGATCTGGGCACCCGCGGCACGCTCTCGGCGAGGCGCAGCTGCTGGAAAGCACCCCGAGGCTGGAAAACCGACGAGAACGGACGACCGCGTTCGAAAACCTCGAGCCTCGAACCTCGACGACCCCCCCCCCCCCTGGGCTCGCGCCGATCCTTGTCAACCATCTCCTGCTCCAGCGCCTGCCGCTCCTCGGCCAGCTTGTCGGCCAGAAGTGCCCTGCGACTCTGCAGCTGCTGCTCGTGCTGCCTCTGCATCGCGAGCGCCTTTTTCACGGGCGAAGAACAGGGCTGAACCTGAACGGTGTTTTTCGTTTTTGTTTTGTTTTCGTTTTCCCTCCCTTTTGTCTCGAATCCGCCTTTACCGCAAAACAAAGCCGAAACGAAAACGGCTCACGAAATCACCAAAAACACCGTTCAAGTCCAGCCCCGGCGAAGAACGGCATCCAGAACCGCGCCTGTGAGGCACGAGTGGGAGTGTCCTCGGGTGGCTTGCTCAATCCCCTGAGCCTCAGTCCTTGATTCCAGGGATCCCTTCAGGGGGCCCGGACCCCAAGTGCTCGAAGATCTCCCTGGGGGCGCCCGGCGCGGCTCCCGGCATGACCCTGTCGGGCCGCAAAGGGCACAGAGACGGGCCAGAAGGCCTCCAGTCTACAACCGAGGCATGGTGACGGGACGGGCCGAATGCCACCAGTTCCACAGAAGCTTTTGCGCCATCGGGGACGCTTGTCCGAGGGCGGCTGGCAAGTTTATAAGCCCCGACGCTGGCAGGTGGGGGTGTAACCTTTCCTGCCGCCCTGGGACAGGCGTCCCCATCGCGGGAACGTTCATTTCGTACCGTTCTTCTCCCGCCAGGCCTTGGCGCGCACGTTGTTGGTGCGGATCACGGCAGCAGTCTTGTTCTCGAAGAGTGCCTTCTGGCCGTCCTTGAAGGCGACGGCCTGGGCCGCCATGCGGCCCTCGTGGATGAACTCCTTCTTCTGCCTCTGCATCACCGCGCGGTCGGCATTCTGGCGCGCAGGTATGGTCGACATGGCCGGCAGCAGAGTGTCCGCGCAAGCCCTTGCACGAGCGCGCGGGCGGCGTGCTGCCTGCGGTCCCTTCTTGAGACAGCGGGCCAGAGCGGCTGCGGAGAGGGGGGCCCAGTGCCTGGACCTGGACCGGAACCACGAAGCTTCCGCTGGGGGGTCCACAAGCGCATCCACCGCGAAAACACTCGTGAGGGTGCGAGAAAACCAGGCGCAGATCCAGGCGAGGCCTCAACGGCTCCCTCGGGGGCCGCCCGCTGCGCCGCCGTCGCCACTTTCGTGGGCGCCTGGGAGGCAGGGGAGAATGCAGGGCAGCGTGGATCAGTGGAGACCTCAACGGCTCCTTCGGGGGCTGCCAGCTGCGCCGCCGTCGCCACTTTCGTGGGCTCCTGGGAGGCACGGAAGCATGCAGGGCGGCGTGGATCAGTGGAGACCTCAACGGCGCCCTCGGGGGGCCGCCAGCTGCGCCGACGTCGCCACTTTCGTGGGCCCCTGGGAGGCGCGGCGGAGTGCAGGGCAGCGCAGATCGTGCATCCCTCGCGATGCGCTCCCTTTTTTTGTTGACATTGATACAACTCGTCGCCTGGCGTGGAGAAGGGGGTGGGGATGTCCAGGGTCGTGTGTTGCGTATTTCTTAGATCGAACGATCGCGGGCACGTGACTGTGACGCGTCGAAGTGTCCCATGCATCACTCAATGTGTGAGGACCAGTTCTGAGACCACGAGTGGGCCCGCAGTGGATCAAGGAGCGGCTTCCCTGCGGGCGAGGAGAGCCAGGTGGAGGACCTGGGGAGTCTGTGGCTCTGCGCCCGGGAGTTCGAGGCCGGAGGTGCGGAAGACGTGCTGCTCGACTCGACTCGCCCCCTGGTCGGGCGGAAGACATACTATTCTATGCCTCTTGGTTCGTGGGAGCACAAGGGGGCCAAAAAAGGGGGTGCTTCAGCCAGCCCGTGATGTGCCAACGCGGGGTGTTCGTCTCTGTCCGTTACGTGGCAACGCTGGGGTGTGGAGGCCATACCGTTGTACTCTTCGAGTCTCGTGGCAACGCCAAGGGTTGGGGATTATAGGTGCCACGCCAGAGGAGAAGGGAGAGGTGGGAGGAGGGGAGGGGAAGGGTGAAGGGGGGCAGGGGAGGGGCAGGGAGGGGAGAGGGGGAAGGGTGGGAGAGGGGGAAGAGGGGGGAATGGAAGGGGGAGGGAAAGAGACACCAGGCAGGCCGGGCCGTGGCCCCCGCATGCAGGGCCGTGCCTCCGCGCGCGCCGGAAGGCACGAGACGGAAAGATCACGATGCGGCCCTTCTTGGAGCGAGTTCCGTTCATGATGGGCCTGTTCTCCACCACCACCACCACCATAAGTTGGAGGGGGATGGCGTCCTCCTCCTCCCCCTCCCCCTCCTCCTCCTCCTCCTCCTCTCCTCCTCTTCCTCCTCCTCCTCCTCCCTCCCTCCTCCTCCTCCTCCTTCCTCCTCCTCCTCTTCCTCCTCCCCCCTCCAACGTATGGTGGTGGTGGTGGAAAACAGGCCCAACAATTCAAGGGCTGGAGCGCCTCCTCCGCAGCAGCAGCCCAGAGAGCACAAGCGATGCCCGCTGTGCCCTGCGCGCGCCCAGCGCGGGAGGGAGGCCGGGAGGTGGACGGTGAAAAGCGTGAGATCCTACCCAAGCAGGGCGAATTGAGAGGAGGAGGACGAGGAGGAGGAGGAGGAGGAGGAGGAGGAGGAGGAGGAGGAGGGGAGGAGGAGGAGGAGGAGGGAGGAGGGAGGAGGAGGAGGAGGAGGAGGAGGAGGAGGAGGAGGGAGGAGGAGGACGAGGAGGAGGACGAGGACGACGGGAGGAGGAGGAGGAGGAGGAGGAGGACGAGGAGGAGGAGGACGAGGAGGAGGAGGAAGAGGAGGAGGAGGAGGAGGGGGAGGAGGAGGAGGAGGAGGAGGAGGGAGGAGGAGGAGGAGGAGGGAGGAGGAGGAGGAGGAGGAGGAGGAGGAGGAGGAGGAGGAGGAGGAGGAGGAGGAGGAGGAGGAGGAGGAGGAGGAGGAGGAGGAGGAGGAGGAGGAGGAGGAGGAGGAGGAGGAGGACGAGAGACAACGGCAGCCCAAGCTCGGACCCCCGGACCCCTCCTCGGGCCCAAGCGCACCAGACATCCGAGCTGCGCCCAGCCGTGGCGACGAGGGACCCCCTCTCCCGGAGGCCAAACACCGTTCCCAGAGATCCGAGGTCGTGATGTTCTCTCTCTGCGGGGTCCCCGGAAATCTCGACCAAGTCCCCAGGACCGGTCTTTCATCCTGAGTCGTTTCTTGACGGTCCCGAGGCCCGGCGAGGGCCCCTCGAGGATGAAAAATGCAAAACCTGCGTCGTGATTTTTGCAATACGTTGGATCTCTGGGTTGCCTCAACTCGCCCTCCTCGGAAGATGTACGCGGTGCGCCCGAGCATCACCATATGACTCCTGCTCCAGCGCCCGCCTCGTCCACGGCGACCGGCCGACAGGGATAAAGCTCCGCCACGCTGCGTCCCTCGACGATCCTCAGAGAGTGCGTTGGCGCTAACATGAGAGTGGGAGGAGGAGGAGGAGGAGGAGGAGGAGGAGGAGGAGGAGGAGGAGGAGGAGGAGGAGGAGTGGAGGAGGAGGAGGAGGAGGAGGAGGAGTGGAGGAGGAGGAGGAGGAGGAGAGGAGGAGGAGGAGGAAGGAGGAGGAGGAGGAGGAGGAGGAGGAGGAGGAGGAGGAGGAGGAGGAGGAGGAGGAGGAGGAGGAGGAGGAGGAGGAGGAGGAGGAGGAGGAGGAGGAGGAGGAGGAGGAGGAGGAGGAGGAGGAGGAGGAGGAGGAGGAGGGAGGAGGAGGGGGAGGAGGAGGAGGAGGAGGAGGAGGAGGAGGAGGAGGAGGAGGAGGAGGAGGAGGAGGAGGATGAGGAGGAGGAGGAGGAGGAGGATAGGAGGGGGATCGACCGTACCTGAGAGGATAGGAGGGGGATGAGGCGGAGGAGGAGGAGGAGGAGGAGGAGGAGGAGGAGGAGGAGGAGGACATGGAGGAGGAGGAGGAGGAGGAGGAGGAGGAGGAGGAGGAGGAGGAGGAGGAGGAGCTCGTCCCCCGAAGCCCTTCAAGACGACGCCGGCGGTGCAGTGAGGGCCGGCGCAGACTGTGTGTGCTACCGGCGGAGCCGAACAGGGTACAGTGGGGGCGTTGACCTAGGGAACCCTAAATAAGGAACGAGGCCCCTTTTTTCCAGAAGTTAACTTTCGATTTCCTGCCGAAAACCTCAGGACAACCTGAGGCAAGCTGTGCAACACTCAAGGAACGCGGAGCCCCTCCCCAACGAAAAGGGTTCCTTCTTCAGGGCCCCGACTGTACTGGCGGAGCTGAACAGGGTAAACACACACACACACACACACTTCGGGTGTGGCTCACGGTGCCCGTGGCCTAATCAAGGTGCCCTTCATTTCGGAGCCCCAGGGGCCCTTCGGGCCCCGTGAGGGGTGCTCTGGAGCTAGAGCGGGTGAATGGAAGACCTCTCGCTGGTCCAGGGATCTCCAAAAAACTCAAGCCGAATCTTGCCGAGAGAGAATCTCAAACCAGATCTCAAACCAGATCTCAAGCCAGATCTCAAACCAGGTCTTCATGCACCTGATCTAACTCTGGAGGCCGTGGGTGGCCTCCTTGGAAATCCTGAGGGCACCTTGGGCCAGGGGCGCTTCTGACAACGCCTGAGCATTGCGCCAACACGCGACCTGAGGAGCATCGCTTTTCTTGCCATCGCTCGGACGTCCACTCGCCGTGCATGTTTGGGTCTCGTGAGTTCTCTTTGGGGGGCCAAACGACCCAGGATGCTCCTCGATGGTTATGCTGCTCCCATCAGACTTAAAGAACACATCCCAGAAATAATTTCGAGCACCCAGAAAAGTGTCGAAAGAGTGTCGAAACAGTGTCGGACGAGTGTCTCCCAGGGCCCGACACGCGACAATCCTCGAGTTTGGTCACTTCTGGTGCTCGCAATTCTTCCTGGTGGGCAAGGCCAAAGCAGGTGGGAACCTCATAACTCGATGGTCCTCGCCGGAGCAAACAACCGCACACGCCCGAGCGATGCCAAGCTTCTGCAGGCCGGCTTCCGGGGAGCGCGGCGCACGGGGGGAAGGCCGGGGAGACGGCTCTCCGCGGCTCCACCACCGCAGCGCGCGCGCCCGAATGAAAAGAAAGCCGGAAGCGGGCGCGAGGCGCACGCCGCGGAGGGGGGAAGCCTGTCGAGGAGTGGCCGGCGAGGCGATCACGGGCGGACCGCCCCGAGTGGAGGAGGATCGGCTCCACGCAAGAGTGTGGCCTGCACGGTTTCCCCCGGGGCCGCAGGCGACCCGAGGGGGAGGAGGAGGAGGAGGAGGAGGAGGAGGAGGAGGAGGAGGAGGAGGAGGAGGAGGAGGAGGAGGAGGAGGAGGAGGAGGAGGAGGAGGAGGAGGAGGAGGAGGAGGAGGAGGAGGAGGAGGAGGAGGTGGAGGAGGAGGAGGGGAGGGGAGGAGGACATGGAGGAGGAGGAGGAGGAGGAGGAGGAGGAGGAGGAGGAGGAGGAGGAGGAGGAGGCGGAGGAGGAGGAGGAGGCGGACGAGGAGTAGGAGGAGGAGGAGAAGGAGGAGGAGGAGGAGGAGGAGGAGGAGGAGGAGGAGGAGGACGAGTCGCCTAAGCCCTTCGGAGAAACCCTCCAGAGTGACCCTGGGTAAGAGTGACCTTCGGTGCGCGGCTTTGTGGGGCCGCGGGGTGGCCAAACACAAGCGCGCAGGACGCTGCTGTCGCAGCACGCTCGGCGATCGGGGGGCCCGGTTGAGCCCGGCGAAAGGTCACTCTTACGTGCGGTGGGGGGGAAGGGCGCGGGAGGCAGCAGGGCAGGGGGGAGAAAAAGGCAAGAAGGAGCTGTGGTGTAAACTACATTGGCACGCTCGAGCTCCAGGCAGCCAGCCGCTGCGAAAGACCACGAGCCATCGCGAATCACAGGCGGCAGCATGCCTCCTGGCTCGTGCAGAGGAGGCACGGCATGAGGAGCACGAAGAGAGGCCAGCGGCCGCCGACACACGGAGGAGCGGCAGCCACTGGAAGGCGGCGGGGAAGAGCATATCCCAGATATCCGGATG